CACATTGTGTGTCATAATGTACAATTACTATGTGTCAATTAAAAAGTAAAAGAATAAATACATAGGAAAAAAAGAAAAGCAAATTTCTGCACCCAATCCCAGACTTACTAAATAAAAAACCCTGGGGGCCTAGCAGTCTGTGTCTTAACAATCTAAATGGTTCTGATGCATACTAAAGTTTGAGAAACACTGGTTAATAAAGAGATTTATTTAATACTAGATGGCAATAATAACTACCACTTACTAAGTGCTGATACATTTTTAGACATTGCACTAATGATTTTGTAGGCATATCATATTTAATTCTCAAAAGAAGGGCTGGGTGCTCTCATCTCTTGAAGATGATGCAATGAGGCTTAGCATCTCAATAGTGACCCAGTTACTAGGTGACAGGGCCAGGACTCAGACGCCAATCTTTCTGACAGCACCTCTCATGAACAGCCATAGTCATCAAGCTCATATTGAAGGATAAACTTTAGCCTGGATTTATCAGGCCACGAAATGAAATAATGCAATCTTCTTTTGTTTTGTTTTGTTTTATTGAGACAAAGTCCTACTCCGTCACCCAGGCTGGAGTGCAGTGGCGTGATCTTGGCTCACTGCAACCTCCACCTCCCAGGTTCAAGCAATTCTCATGCCTCAGCCTCCCAAATAGCTAGGATTACAGGCGCATGCCACCATGCCCAGCTAATATTTGCATTTTTAGTAGAGATGGGGTTTCATCATGTTGGCCAGGCTGGTCTCAAACTCCTGACCTCAGGTGATCCATCCGCCTTGGCCTCCCAAAGTGCTGGGATTACAGGCATGAGCCACCGCACCTGGCCTAAATCTCTTAACATTCCTCCCTGTATCCTTAATCCCTCTTGCCATCTACATACACATTCTTTGCATTTTGGAAACTGGCTCACCCTAATAAAGAATAGCAAGAGTTTTTACTTTTTTAAAACAGCAGACAAAAAGGGAAATAAGTGACCACAATGTTCATAAACAAATTAGGTTCTCCAAACCTCAACAGTAACCCTTTTACTCAGCAAGTTAATAAGAATTCTTAATATTTTGGGAAGGAACTGAGAAACATGCTTAAGAACAAAATGAGCAGGGTGATTGCACATGAGGAAATTGGCTTCAGAACAGAACTGATCATCATCCTGAGAAAAAAGGAAATACACATTCTGCAAGGGTTGCTCATGACTCTTACTCCCAGATCCATCGATCCTGCTGGTTTCTCCACCTCTGAGCCCCCTTTTTCCTTTGGGGAGATCCTCAACTCTCTCTTGACGACCCAGACCTTGGAGAGTAGGAATTTTTAGAAATTCTAGTTCAATATTCTGGGACCCAGGATTTCTATTCTTGGTGTAATCTCAGGATAACCTCACGTTCTAGGTCAGACAGTTCAAGTCCTGGCGATTGTAGGTCCTCATCCCAAACTTATGTGTCAGTTTGAGAAACTGAGTCCCTCCCCTGTTCACTGTGTCTAAATCCCCGTGCTGGGAACCTCTAGTCAGAGACCTTGTCTTCTTCTTGACAGACATCCCTGCTCTGGCTTCTGGACCCCAGCCCTGGGATTTGGCTCCTGCTTCCTTCTGCTAGACTTTCATCCTGTCTGCCCACTCTGAAGGCCATTTCATCATCAGCTAAGCCATGACTACCACATGAATCCTCATTAGAGTGAGGATACGTTCTAACACTTGGTAGAAAACTTGACCATGTTTAGGAAAAATGAAGATTCCTAGGCTCCATCCTTAAACCCTAACCCTAACCCTAGGTTCCATCATTATTTTGATTTAGTGGGCCTAGGGCCTGGGAACCTGCATTTGTAATGAGTCTCCAGTGACTCTGATTCAGCCAGTTTACTGACCCGCGTTTCAGAAACTTTCTCCAAAACCTTCTCCTGATTTAAGAAGTGTGGGCAGTGCTTTGGTGATAAAGTGTGTTGGAATGCTCCATTTTGGTGATTTATCAGGGTCTTAGGATTCCAAACACGGGAAGACGTGGCTCCAAGGGCAGGTGGCCTTGTGGGAGGGGCAGGGTAGTGGGCAACGCTTCGTGTCCAGATCTCTGGGGGCCTGAGAAACTGTCTGAGAGAACGGCCTCTGAGCCACGCTGCCTGAGTTCTCATTCTGACTTGGCCACTTCCTGGCTGGGGAGTCTCTCTGCACACATACCACATTTATAAAGAAGATGCGATGTCAGTGCTTGCCGTTCTTCTTATTTTTCCTATATCAGGAACAGACAAGGAGGGGCGAGGACCAGAAGCAGGCAGGGTATGCTCCTCATCTCTCTTCCTTCTGACCAAACAGACCTGTCTCACCTCAGGGCTTTCCACTTCCCGTTCTTATTCCTGGAGGGCTCGTACTGCGGGTAATTCTTGCTCCCTCACTTCGCTCACATCTTTTGTCAAATGTCACTTCCTAGAGGGCCTCTCTGTGAACACCCCATCCAAAGGAGCCCTGGCCCCAGCCCTACTTCATATTGCTCCTTGCTACTACCTGACATTACAGTACATAGTTTTCGTTCTTTACCATTTTCCTCATGTTGAATGTAAACTCCATGAGGACAGGAACTATTGTATTTTTTTCATTGCCCCACCACTGTTCCAGGTGATGGGAATGCGGCAGTAAAAATAATAATAATAATAATCCTTGTCATTCAACAATAGTTGTCATTCAATAAAATTTTTTATTTGTTTATTTATTTTTTTAATTTCTTATTTTTTTTTTTGAGACAGAGTCTCTCTCTGTCGCCCAGGCTGAGTGCATATTGGTGGGATCTCGGCTCACTGTAACCTCCACTTCCCGGGTTCAAGCGATTCTCCTGCCTCAGTCGGGACTGGGCTGGGACTATAGGCATGCACCACCATGCCCAGCTACTTTTTGTATTTTCAGTAGAGACAGGGTTTCACCATGTTGGCCAGAATCCTTGGTAGGTGGATTGCCTGAATCCGGGAGTTTGAGACCAGCCTGGGTAATATAGTAAAGCCCTGTCTTAACTAAAAATACAAAAATTAGCTGGTGTGGTGGTGCGCACCTCTAGTCCCAGATACTTGAGAGGCTAAGGCAGGAGGATTGCTCTTAAGCCTGGGAGGCTGAGGCTTCAGTGGGCTAGAATCCTTGGCCTCAAGTGATCCATCCACCTCAGCCTCCCACAGTACTGAGATTACAGGTGTGAGCCACCGCGCCCGGCCGGCATTCAACAAATATTAAATGAATAGATGAATGAGTGAGTGAATGGATCTAGCCTTCTCCCTGCCTTCAGCGCCTTCACAGTCATTATTCAAGGGCTTTTCTTTCTAGGGCAGGCTTCTTGACAGCAGCACTGTTGACATTGGGGGTCAGAGAAGTCTTTGGCTTGGAGGTTTTCTTGTGCACTGCAAGGCATTTAGCAGCATACCTGGCCTACTAGATGTCATTAGTTCCTGCTCCATGCCCCAAGCTATGACAATCAAAAATGTCTTTGGAATTGGCCGAACAACCCTTGGAGGCAAAATGCCTGGTTGAGAACCACTGGGGGAGTATCAGGCTGACTGAGCTAGTATAATGGTTTTTATTATTAATATTATCCACAAATAGTTAAAAGTGGATGCTTAGGAATTAAAAAAAAAAAAAGGTTAGGACATCTGAATGAAAGCCACTGAATATCCTGAGTCCTTGATAAAGCCAAGAATTTCAACCAATTATTATTTGATGATTACAATAAGTGGTTGTAATTGTTCAGGGAGTCAAAATTACTAAACATGATTGATTTGGCCTGGTTACTGTATTTGACTAAAAAGAAACACAGACAAAAACTTACCATAGTCCTCAATCCAGAGTTCTGTAGGCATACAGAAAGGCTCTAACACATCACATGTGTGGTTGTAATAACTCATCTCCTGATCAGACTGATGTGAGATTCTAATTTAAAAAAATGTAAATTGGCCAGGAGTGGCGGCTCATGCCTACAATCCCAACGCTTTGGGATGCCAAGGTAGGTGGATCTCCTGAGTCCAGGAGTTTGAGACCAGACTGGATAATATAGTAAAGCCCTGTCTTAACTAAAAATACAAAAATTAGCTGGTGTGGTGGTGTGTACCTCTAGTCCCAGATACTTGAGAGGCTAAGGCAGAAGGATTGCTTAAGACTGGGAGCCTGAGGCTTCAGTGGGCTATGATTGCACTACTGTAGTCCAGCCTGGATGACACAGTGAGACTCTGTCTCCAAAAAACATAAACCATATCTAACATTTGATAATACATATTGCCTTTTGACAATATACACCTTAAGTTTCATGACCCAGTAATTAAAACAATTTTTTTTGTTATTTTCTTTTTTTTTTTTTTTTGAGACGGAGTCTTGCTCTGTCACCCAGGCTGGAGTGCAGTGGCCGGATCTCAGCTCACTGCAAGCTCTGCCTCCCGGGTTCACGCCATTCTCCGGCCTCAGCCTCCCGAGTAGCTGGGACTACAGGCGCCCGCCACCTCGCCCGGCTAGTTTTTTGTATTTCTTAATAGAGACGGGGTTTCACCGTGTTAGCCAGGATGGTCTCGATCTCCTGACCTCGTGATCCGCCCGTCTCGGCCTCCCAAAGTGCTGGGATTACAGGCTTGAGCCACCGCGCCCGGCCTTTTTTTGTCATTTTCTATACATTTTCTAGGACATCTTGCAAGTTTCTAATTTCCAAAAACTTATTATGTTGGAATGAGCCCAATAAATAAAGAACTGAAAACTTTTTTTAGTCTTATCAATAAAATTATAAATTAATTTGTTTAAAATGTGGAACTTTCGTTTTCAGAAGTGAAGAAATCCCCAGACAGATTTACCTTAAAGTTTTAGGTTCAGATAGGAGGCTTTGGGGAAAATGCCCCAAATTGATAGAAATGTTTCCCTCATTGCTATTTTGGTTGAACAATTTCTTATTGTTACACATGTGGCTAACTACATAACATTTAACATTTTCTTCCTTGAAAAAATGATTAACTCAAATTGCTTATAAATCTAAATGAATGACTTCTTATAACATACCTTTAAAACAAAGCAGTAGTCAGTGGGCGCTTTATATTTCATTTTATGCTGAGTCCCATAGTAAATGTTGACATTTTCGAACTGTATAAAACATGCCAGATCTCGAGATGTCTGAAAGACAGGGAAAAAAATAAAACTTCAACTGAGATAATCCAGAGTTGTCCTTCACGGCATAACTAAGGATTACGTTTTAGTAAAGAAAATATTGACTTTTAGGTAATTTATATAAACATCTGCCATGTATGGTTCTTCTCAAAGGCAAGTCTGAAAGGTTGGAATGGAAACAGATATGGTCAAATTGGGGGACAATTTAGTAAGATCTATGCATAAATCTTTCCCAGTATAAAAGATATTGAATGTTCCCAACACAAAGAAAGGATAAATGTTTAAGATGATGGATGTGCTAATTACCTTGATCTGATCACCATACATCATATGTATCAAAACATCACTGTGTACATTGTGCATATGTACAATTATTATTTGTCAGTCAAAAAATAAAATTAATTTTTTAAAAAGAGTACAGCCAAGGAAAATCGGTGCCACTGACCCAGAAATGGAGTGAAAGATTATACTGCTGTTCTAATGCCTATCTGGGGACTCCCAGAGTCAGGATGGACTGTCCTTGAGATGTCATTATTGATGCAGTCGAGACAAGGTGACCGCTTAGCCAGAAATTTCATTTTGACTTTTGCCATTCTAAGTCCGTGATGGATTTTGTGATTGAGCATTAAAAAAAAAAGTCCCCCTCAGGAAGAACAATGAGAGATAAACTTATGCTCAGTAAATTAGCACACACTTCATGCACTTCCTCCTGAGAAAAAGGATTTCTTTCACAAGTTCTCTTTACTGCAGGCAGTGTTGCCATGGAAACAGAGACCTCTCCTCCACGGATAACAGGCACTGTGAAGGCTGCAGCCTGTAATCTACATATTTGGTTACACTTCAATTACAAATGTGTTGCATTATTTTTTTCTTTTGCCTTCTATAATTCTTTACCTAGTTAGTGAATAGATTAATAGATGGCAGAACTATTTACACCTTAGTGCACAATTATTTCTTTACATATGCTTGTACATTCTTTTCTTGCAAGATATTTTCTTCTGGGTATTCAAAGTTTACATTTTTAAGTTACAAACTAAGGCATATTAGTCACAATTTAAAAATATATATATATATTTAAATAATAAAATGCATATATTCCTTCACCACCCCTTTTTCTTATTTTGTTCTTTTCTCCAAATGTACCATAGTTAATAGTTTGGTAGTATTCTGTTCTGTTCTATTTCCCCACGTTGCCCAGGCTGGTCTTGAATTCCTGAGCTCAAGCGATCCGCCTTCCTTGGCCTTCCAAAGTGTTTGGGATTAGAGCTGTGAGCCACTGTCCCCTGCCTTCTTTTTCTTAACATTGCATCTAGGAGTCTTTCCATATCAAGACACATGAATTAATAGATGACATTCATTTTATGACTGCAGAGAATTCTACTGTACAGGGGTAACGATTTATTTAACTATTCTACTACAGAGGAGTAGAAGTTATTTCAATATTTAGCTATTACAACAAATACTGTGCATATGCGCTTATATTTCTGTGAGATAGATTTGTCAAGCATGGAGCTGCCAATTGAAAGGATTTTTCCTCCCTTTTACATTTACATAGATTTTGCTAAATTGTCCCCCAGTTTGGCTGTATGAGTTTCCATTCCAACCTCCTAGGTGTGAGTGTCCCTTTTTCTTACCCACTTCTACCAAAATTTGGATATTGTCTATATTGTTTATTGTATCAATCTCATGTTTAATTTACATTTCCTGATTACTAGTGAGACGGAGCAACTTTTAGTTATGCGGTGGCTACCAGTACTTCTTTTTCTGTAAATTTTCCCTTTAATGCTTTGCCATTTTTCTGTAAGTATATTTATCTTTTTCTTATTGATTTGTTGAAGTCTTTATATTTTATGGATATTCATACTTGTTTATACATGTTGCAAATGTACTCTGTCACTGTAGTCAGTCTTTCACTTCTTGTTTTTATCTTTGGCCATAAGGTATTAAAAATAACTTTATAAGGTCAAATCTGTCCATTTTTTCCGTTATAATTTTGAGTTTTTATTCTTGCTTAGGAAAGCTTTCTCCAGCTCAAAATTATAAAAACATTAACCTATATTTTCTTTCTTTCCCTCTCTCCCTCCCTTCCTTCCTCCCTGCCCTCCCTCCCTCCCTTCTTTTCTTCCTTCCTTCCTTCCTTCCTTCCTTCCTTCCTTCCTTCCTTCCTTCCTTCCTTCTCTCTCTCTCTCTTTCTTTCTTTTTTTTTTTTTTTCAGGGTCTCATTCTGTCACTTAAGCTAGAGTATAGTGGCATAAACACGGGTCACTGAAGTCTTGACCTCCCGGGCTCAAGTGATCCTCCCCGATCAGCCTCCCAAGTAGTGGGGACTACAGGCATGTGCCGCCATCCTTGTTAATTTTTTTATTTTTTTTGTAGAGACTGGGTCTCCCTATGTTTCTCAGGCTGGTCTTGAACTCTTGGGCTCAAGCTATTCTCCCACCTGGGCCTCCCAGAGTGCTGGGATTATAGGCATGAGCCACCACACCCAGCGAACCTCTATTTTCTTCTAGAATTTTATACCATGTTTCTCTAAAGATATTTTAACCAATCAATAATTTAGTCTGGTACATGGAATGAGGTAGGAAATTATATTTCTAAATGGATATACAGTTATTTCAATGCTATTTGTTGAATACCATATTCTTTCCCCACTGCTGTGATATAAAATTCTAACTTTAACTTCTCTTATATTAGATGGCTGTCTGTCGACCTGTTTGTCTCTAGCCGTGCTGTTTTTATCTAATGTTTTGGCACGGCAGGAAATCTACCTTGATGTTCTTCACAATTTTGGGAAGGTCTATTTTGGAACAGTGTCTTTTTTCCATGAATTTTAGAATCAGTCTGTGAATTTCAAGTAAATAAAATCCTACTGATATTTTTATTAAAATTACCTTAAATTTATAGAAAACTGGGAAGAATTAATAACTTTTCATTTAGCAACATGGTACCTTTCTTTTCTTTTTCTTCTACTTTTTTTTTCTTTTTTCTGTCTTTCTTTTTTTTTTTGAGATGGAATCTCACTCTGTCGCCCAGGCTGGAGTGCAGTGGCGTGATCTTGGCTCACTGCAATCTCTGCTTCCTGGGTTCAAGCAATTCTTCTGCCTCAGCCTCCCAAGTAGCTGGGATTATAGGCGCCCGCCACCATGCCTAGCTAATTTTTGCATTTTTAGTAGAGACGGTGTTTCACCATATTGGCCAGGTTGGTCTCAAACTCCTGACCTCGGGCCTGCCTCGGCCTCCCAAAGTGCTGGGATTACAGACGTGAGCCACCGTGCCTGGCCTGCAACATGGTACCTTTCTATTGATTCAGTTCTACTTCATTCCTCTTAATAAATTTTAAATTTTATGCCATATAGATCTGGAACATTTCTTGTTAAGTTTATTGTTAGGAATTTTGCATTTTCTGTTTCTAGTCTGCATGGATTCTTTTGCATTGTAGTTTGCATTATATATAGTGTTTGTGTAAAGAAAAACTTTCTTAGTTAATGCATTTATTTGGTTCTAACAGTTTTTCAGCTGAGTATCTCATATTGCTGGTAGACGATCATGTCAACGGTGAAAAATCAGTCTTTGCCTCTTCTTTTCTATTGGTTATACTTATTATTCTTCTCTTTAATGTACTAGTTAGTTCCTCAACCCAGTGTTAATGGTAACAGTGAGAGAAGGTATTCTTGTCCAACTCTACTGTAAACACTTTCTTTTTGGAGATATAGTCTTGCTCTTTCATGCAGGCTGGAGTGCAGTGGCATGATCTCAGGCTACTGCAACCTCCACCTTCCAAGTTCAAGTGATTCTCATGCCTCAGTCTCCCCAGTAGCTGGGATTACAAGTGTGCACCACCACACCCAGCTAATTTTTGTATTTTCAGTAGAGATGGGGTTTCACAATGTTGGCCAGACTGGTCTAGAACTTCTGGCCTCAAGTGATTCATCTTGCCTCAGCTTCCCAAAGTGCTGGGACTACAGGCATGAACCACCACACCTGGCCAAATGTAAACACTTTTAATTCTCATCACAGAGCATATTGTTTGTTATATGTTTATATGTACCATTTATATTCAAATGCCTAAGACATAAACATTTCAAAAAGAACACAAATTATTTGTGGGTCAGTTGTGAGGTGCCCAGCGTGGGACTAGAATGAGATGACAGAGATGGGAAAGCATCAGATCTAAGGCCGGGAGCAGAGTGGAAGAGGCTAAGGAGAACAGTAGCTGTCCTGGACCAAGAGTTAGCCATAATGCCCGTCCTGCCTTCCGGCAGAGACAAGAGTCTCCTTACTGGAGGTAGCGGACCTGGACGTTCACCATAACTTCATCGGCTTGGAAGTGTGGGTTAAGCTTTATCAGAGGAAGTTGGCAATGCATGAATATACCACTGGTGGTGCCCTGCATTTGGAAGGGAAGGCAAAATGCTTCTGCGTACCCAAGATACAGATTAAACATATATTAATGGTGAAAAAAAAGAGTGAAATGTCCTAATCCTCTAAGAAAGATCTTAGAGAGAGTTGATGGTCAGAATAAGAGTTAAAATTACATTTCAAGGAATAATTTATTACATATAAATTTGAGGCAATAATCCCAAATCACCAAGTAAAAGTTAAATGATGTCTAAAATATCCTGCTAAATTAAGCAGGGAAATTCAGAGTACACCTCAGAGAACGATTTAAAAATATTCAGAGTCTAAGGACTAAAATCTCAAGGAAAATCTAGTCCAGAGCCGGTGCAGTGACTCATGCCTGTAATCCCAGCACTTGGGAAGGCTGAGTGAGGCGGGCGGATTGCTTGAGTTCAGGAGTTCAAGACCAGCCTAAGAAACATGGTGAAAACCCATCTCTATAAAAAATATGAAAAATTAGCTGGGCGTGGTGCCATGCACCTGTAGTCCCAGCAACTTGGGAGGCTGAGGTGGGAGGATGGCTTGAGCCTGGGAGCCAGAGGTTGCAATTAGTCAAGATCATGCCACTGTACCCCAGCCTGTTGGTTAGAGTGAGACTCTATCTCAAAAGAAAAAAGAAAAAAAAATCTTATCAAGACTTCTAATACCTCTATGATTCCAGATAAAATAAATTTAACTATAATGACTATAGAACTACAGGGGTAAAAAGTCCTTGGAAATAGATAGGTAAAGAAACAAAATAATCTCTAGAAAACTGTTTTTGCCATCATTTTTGAAACCTGACTTTAAAATAGATAAAATACTTTTACCTTCAAGAGAGCTATGGAAAAACTCAAGAAGATTTCAGTAATACTGTCCTATTTGTATACATGTTGCAGGATTATGGAATCTGCAGCAACAGCGAATGTATTTCACTTGCCACGTAAGGATTTCTTTAGTTTCACGCTCATGAAATGCTTTATTGCTAATTTTTTTTTTTTTTTCTGACCTTAGTCTTCCCTTTGGGTACATAATAAATTCCAGAAGCCCGTAAAAGAAAATAGCGCCTTTTCCAGGATTTCTTTCCATCTTCTTTCAAATAAAGAGCTCCTTCCAGTTCTGGTACAATGATAGATGTTCCACAGAAACTTTCCTGAAATTGAGATTCCGACGACACAAGACACACACGAAAGATAAAGCACGCATTTTTATTCACATTTAAACAAAGTCGCAAATTAGCTTTTAAACTAAAAGTCAATTGTGTGTATAGCTCTGATCGAATGCATATGTTTATATTATATGCTATTTGCCAGAAAAGGGGAAGAATCACACATCGGTCAAGAATCCTGGCTCCTGAGTTACGCCTCAAGGCCTCCTCACCACTTAGCTCTGTGACCGTGGGCCATTAAACCTCAGTCCACTTACTTGTCAAAATGGAATAATAATAGCCCAACTTCATAAGGTAGGTACAGTCTTGGCATATTGTAAAAGTAAGCATTTAATAAAAGCAATTAATGTTATTATAAAATGGAAGACAGAAAAATTATTACTTTCCTGGTAAGTAAAATAGTTACTATTTCATTGCTTGTAAATAGAACAATTATTATATATAATTCAACACATAAAATTGGGGAGGATAGTTAACGGGTACAAAAGAATAGAAAGAATGAATAAGACCTACTATTTGAAAGCAAAGCAGGGTGAGTATAGTCAATAATAACTTAATTGTACATTTAAAAATAACTAAAAGAGTGTAATTGGATTGTTTGTAATACAAAGGATAAGTGCTTGAGGGGATGGATACCCAATTCTCTATGATGTGATTATGTCACATTCCTTGCCCATATCAAAATATATTATGTGCCCTATAAATATGTATATATTATGTACCCACAAAAATTAAAAATAAAAAGAATAAAAATAAATAAGTTAATATTTTACTATTGGGATAGTTTTCTTTTCAAAGATGGAAGAAGGCAGTTATTAATACACCAGTATCAGAAAAGAATAACAAAGCACATCTAGATGTAGATTTTTAAATCTCAAAACTTGCATAGAATTACAGAATTCTTAATAAATTTTGTCTTAAAAATCAATAGAATAAAATTATATATTATTCTATTTTACAACTCAAATAGTCAAATTTATGTTTCACTTTCTTTTTATAACTTTCAATATCCTCTCATTTAGTTTCATAAATGTGAAATAACTGGATTTTGCATCCTCCAAGTACATTTTTATGTAGTAGAACTGGAAAACGTTTCTGTTCACACTCCCCAATTTCTCCCCAAATTTGGCTAGTATTAGTCATCCTGTTAATAATCTCTCAAATTCAGGTTTTGACCCCCATTAGACAGCAGGATAATGATTTTTCATAGCACAGCACGCTTTGTATTTTCTTTTACATGCAGCTGTAAAACATTGCTGAAGTCCTGGGACAAGGACTCTCTTGTTGTGCCTCCCTGGGAAATGCCCGCTGTGCTCATGCTCCCAGGAACCAGAACCTGCAACACCTGAGCTCAGCATCTTGGGAGTGACAGCTGGCTGTGGTAGCTGCTTGCTTTGGTACTGGGCTGTGAAAGCAAGCAGGCAATAGACACGCGCAAGGTCTGGGCGGAACCTTAATGAACGCGAGAGGGCGCTCTTCAGCATGAGCCAATTGGCTCCAGGTAATGGGGCCGAGGGCATCACCAGGTCTTCTGATTTTTCAAGGGAGGTCCACAATTTACTAACTCAGGAAAAGGTCCATGGATTGTCTCAGGGAAATACAACCTGGGCAACTCTAGCATGGCCATTTGTGACTTGAGATCTGGCACTCGTTTCAGCTGTGTTATGTGCTGCAAACAGAGCCCGGTTGTTTTTTTTTTTTTTTTTTTTGAGACTGGATCTTGCTTTGTTGCCCAGACTGGCCTTGAGCTCCTGGACTTAAGTGATCCTCCCACCTCAGCTTCCTGAGTAGCTGGGATTACAGGTGTGTGCCCCCATGCGAGGCTCAGAGCCTTGATTTTTAGCACGTGAAAACTCACTAGAAGTTTCCAAACAATCAATTGCCAAATGAACTTCTGGAACACGCCCTAATAGTGGTCATCACAGACATCTGTATGGTCATCAACACAGTGCTTTCGCCAGCTCCCTGAATCTCTGTGATGATTCAATACAATTCGGAAACTGAGGTTCTCAGGGGGGCGGGGACTGTCCCATTAGCAAATGAACAGTGTTGGGCAGTGCCACCTCCTGTAACAGGTCCCTGACTCCGAATCTCATGCTTCCTACCACATCTGAGATGTTGGGAGAGCATCTTAGAGGTCCCTTTAAATAAGATTTGGAAGTCTTATGTCTGACTTCTGTGGAGCACTTAAGTAATGAAACATATGGAATGCCAGAAGATGAGTTTTATGAGGATTTGTCAAGTCTTTTTAAAAGTCAAGAATTATGAATCCCACTTCATTTGTCTAAAGCCACATGTTGTAACAAATGACTCAAAAAAGAAAAACAGTTGAATGATCTAAACAGCTATAATTTAGTAATAATTTGATTTTAACACCCCAACTTGAAATTTCAGTGTGTCTTTAGATTTTTCTATTGTTCTGGGAAGAAAATGACTTAAAAATAGATAGAGCAAATGTCATTCTCTTTTCTTCCATTCTGCAAAATTAACCTTACCTCGAGTAAGGATTCCTTGTTCTTAGCATTCATTTTCTCATTGGTTTCCTTGCTTTCTTTTTTTCCTCTGTTATCCAAGTAGAAATTCTAAATAAAATGTTAAAAGATCAGATCAGTAAGTGTTCATTACCATGCTAGACGCTGCAAGGAACTCACAGTCTTGCAGGAAAGAAGATGTTAATTGTGTGAAATAAACAGGGAACCAGAGCATACGCTATCTATCAATCATCAGGGCCTTCCCAAATGCTGATACCGCATGGCAAGGCAGGAGTGAAACCTCCTCACTCTCCCATAGTGTACAATCGATGAAAAAATGAAGATAGAAAACAGTAGTGAAAAATACATCATTTAATTGCTGAAGTCCATGCGTGCACCATGCATGTTAAATGCTGGAAGCTGGAAGTCCTCAAGGCACTGGCAAGAGCTGGAGGCTGGAGTGAAGGTCAAGCTCATGTCCTATGCTCAAGAGGGGAACTGCTCTGGCAGGCAGATGCCACATGGCAGCTCAAGGCCTTGTAGGGTAGCAGGATTCTGCCTTATCAAGAGAATCCAGAAATATAGATGTTAGTAAATGTTAGCGACCTCTTTTATTTTTTAAAAGAACTGCCTGGGTTAATCACAACACAAGGTTTACTATTTAGCAACTTCTAAGGACAGAAAGAAGCAGAAAGGGCATTTCTGGAAAGAAAACCAGCCTAAACAAAGACAGGGAGGACTATGAGCTAAAAGCACTCATAGGCTGGGTGTGGCTCATGCCCATAATCCCACCACTTTGGGAGGCTGAGGCAGGAGGATTGCTTGAGCCCTGGAGTCTGAGACCAGCCTGGGCAACATAGTAGGACCCTGTCTCTACTAAAAATAATAATAAAGAAATTAGCTGGGCATGGCGGCATGCATGCCTGTAGTCTCATCTACTCGGGAGGCTGAGGCTAGAGGACTGCCTGAGTCCAGGAGTTCGAGGCTGCAGTGAGCTATGATCACGCCACTGCACTCCAGCCTGGGAAACAGAGTGAGGCCTTGTCTCAAAAAAAGAAAATAAAAAATTAAAAGAACTCACAAGTGGATTCGTGGTCTCTGAGCATGGTTTGTATTAATTTCTGGATCATACTTTGTTAATACTGAATATCAACGGGATGGCTAAAAATAAAGTGTGTGAGTTTCCAAAAAATCACGAGCACTCAAGGACTAATTTTTACACAATAAGCGCAGCTGAGGTATCCATATGCACAGTGAAGATAATGAGTGACCACTGTTACAGTTAAAGTGCTGAGGATTTTATGTAAAAACATGGAGTTTTACAAAATCATACATAACAAATGTATTAAAGGCAGAAAATGTATCACAGAAGCACTGTGACTAAATTAAGGACCCTCTCGAATCTAGGCACAAGTGTTTATTTACACCATAGGAGTATTTCTCCAAGTATAACTTCCAGACCACCTTGAAACTTGATACAATGCATGTTCCTGGGTTACACTGGAATCTCTGGGATGAGGCCTGGAAATCTGCATTCCAATATGCTTTCCAGATGATTTTTATGCACACTGAAGTTTCAGTTTTTCTTTTCGTTTGCTTTTTTTTTTTAGAGACAAGGTCTTGCTCTGTTACCCAAGCTGGAGTGCAGTCACATGATCATAGTTCACTGCAGCCTTGAACTCCTGGGCTCAAGTAATCTCCCTCACTCAGCCTCCTAAGTAGCTGCGACTACAGGCATGTGCCACCATGCCTGTAGTCGCAGCTACTTAGGAGGAAATACGTCAAGTACAATTTTTTTTTTTTTGAGACACAGTCTTGCTCTGTTGCCCGGGCTGGAGTGCTGTGGTGCCATCTTGGCTCACTGCAACCTCTGCCTCCCCGGTTCAAGGGATTCTCTTTCCTCATCCTCCCGAGTAGCTGGGATTACAGGTGTGCACCACCCTGCCCAGCTAACTTTTTTTTTTTTTAGTAGAGATGGATTTTGCTATGTTGGTCAGGCTGGTCTCAAATTGATCCCTCAGCCTCCCAAAGTGCTGGGATTACAGGCATAAACCACCATGCCTGGTCAAGTACAATTCTTTTGGTAATTCTTATTGAAAAAAGTTTATTTTAATATGTTTTTCCAAGACTTTTAAACTTTTACTTGTTATTTGAAACGATGTTATATTATGAATTAGTGCAGTCATAATATAGAATTCAGAAAACTATTTAAATTTTAAATGTTTTGCTTGAAGACCACGACTAGCCATATTAGGTAGCACCTGCCAGAAACCTGTGCTAAGGCTTTACAGGCATGATTTCATTTCATCCTCACAAGAACCCAATAACACAGGTACCACTGCCCTTGTTACTTTACAGACGACGAAACAGAAGATTAGGTGATTTTCCCAAGGCCGATTAGTGGCAGAACGTCGAGTTATTAAATAATTTTTTTTTTTTTGAGATGGAGTCTTGCTCTGTTGCCAGGGTGGAGTGCAGTGGTGCAATCTCAGCTCACTGCAACCTCCAAATTCCGGGTTCAAGCAATTCTCCTGCCTCAGCCTCCCAAGTAACTGGGATTACAGGCATGCACCACCACGCCCGGGTAATTTTTGTATTTTTAGTAGAGACGGGGTTTCACCATATTGGCCAGGATGGTCTCGATCGCCTGACCTTGTGATCTGCCCACCTCGGCCTCCCAAAGTGCTGGGATTACACACATGAACCACCATGCCTGGCCAAGTTATTAAATACTTTTTCTCAGCATTAAAATTCTCTGAGTACAGAGCCAGGCACAATGGCATGCACCTGTAGTCCCAGCTACTCTAGAGGCTGAGGCGGGAAGATTGCTTGAGCCCAGGTGTTTGAGTCCAGTCTGGGCCACATAGTGGGGCCCTGCCTCAGAAAAAAAAAAAAAAAAGAAAAAGAAAGCTTTAAGTACCATAGGGGAGAATCTAGCACAACAATGTGAAAGTACTTAGTACTACAGAAGGGTACACTTGAAAATGGTTAAGATGATAAGTCCTGTGTTACATATATTTTTCCACAATAACAAAAAATGTGATCCAACACGAGTTTGCCCATTCATACAAGAGTGATTTCAGGGTGCTGCTAGAAAGCAAACCTTGGCTTAGGAAGGCCAGATATTTGAATCATGTATGATGAATTGGAAGCATGAACAGAGAGCATAGTGAAGACTCCAAGCCCGGGGGCGGTGGCTCACACCTGTAATCCCAGTACCTTGGGTGGCTGAGGTGAGTGGATCACCTGAGGTCAGGAGTTCGAGACCAGCCTGGCTAACACGGCGAAACCCTGTCTCTACTAAAAATACAATTATTTGGGTTTGGTGGTGGGCGCCTGTAATCCGAACTACTAGGGAGGCTGAGGAAGGAGAATCACTTGAGCCTGGGAGGTGGAGGTTGCAGTGAGCTGAGATTGTGCCACTGCACTCCAGCCTGGGTGTTAAAGCAAGACTCGGTCTCAGGAAAAAAAAAAAAGAAAAGAAAAGAAAAAAAAGACTCCAGAGCAAGTGTTTGTCATCATCTGGGAAAGACAGAACATTTGTCACTCTCTGCAGGGAAGAACCTGTCTAAACCGTGAAGGGCCACATTTCACCAGGGTGCCCTAAAGAGGCAGGATACATAGCTGTACCTTTCTCTGAGAACTTTCTCTGACATGCTTCTGACTTTTTCAGCTCCAGAATATCCTTCTAAGTGACCATGCTACACTATTTTTGTTTTTTATTTTAACGAAACAGCAAAAAACACAAAGTAAATCTGTGCTAGAGGAGGGCAGTCCTTAGAATAAGAATAATTCTTAGAATAATAAGACTGATTGCTTTCGGATTGGAACTTCCGCCTGTGGTGTGGGCGCCCACTCAATGCGGGCTGCTCTGGAGAAGTAGTGAGCAGAACTCAACATTTAGTCATTATATCCTGCAAATGGAAACTGGGTAAACCTGAGTCGCATAATAAAGGAACTTTAAAATGGGAAATGAGACTGTTGGTCACAGCTTGCTGTCTTTTCTCACAGCTTCTGGGAGTGCAACATTTGGGAACAGCTGGATAGGAAAGAAACAGCAAATACTTTTTAAACATCTTCTTGGAATAAAGAGTAAATCAAGCAAACAGTTATCAGGTCATGAAGAAATATTTGCGAGTGCCCTTTGTACATGTAAAACATCCCTGTTCTTTTTTGGGGGAGGGACATGATCTCACTTTGTCACCCAGGCTGGAGTGCAGTGGCGTGATCATAGTTCACCGCAACCTCCGCCTCCCAGGTTCAAGCAATTCTCCCACCTCAGCCCCACAAGTAGCTGGGGCTACAGGCACATGCCACCATGGTCAGCTAATTTTTAAATTTTTTTGTAGAGATGGGGTCTTGCTATGTTGTCCAGGCTGGTTTCAAACTCCTGAGTTCAAGTGATTCACGTGCCTTGGCCTCCAAAAGTGCTGAGATTACAGGTGTGAGCCACCATGCCCGGCCTCAAATCCCTGTTCTTAAGAAGGCTGCTATCACATGGAGAAGATAAATACAGATAGAGCATAGCGAGATGGATGGATGACTCTTTATCTATTGATGGGGAAGATATAAGAGACTACAAAAATTCAAAATGAGCCACCATCTAGAGATTTTCAGGAAGGAAAAAAATAACTATGGACTGAGATGGTCAAGAAAATCTTTACAGAGGGGGTCAAAGTTTGAAGGAGGCCTTGAAAGTTGTTCAATGTTCAGCTAGGGAAAAAAGAATGAGAATAGATTTCCAGGGAGGAGAACAAGCATGCACAGAGGCACAGAGGTGTCTTTGGAGGACCAGTGAGCAGCCAGTTAGGCTAGAGCTGTGGGGTTAATGCAGCTCACTGAGTGAAGATCAGATCAGACCATCACTCCCAATTCTCTGCTTGCTGTCAGGTGACTGGGCAGTAACTTTCCCCAGAGTGGGTGAAGCTTATTTCCTTGCTTCACTTATGTTGGGTTTGGTCATGTGACTTGCTTTGACCAATAGAATGTGGCAGACGGGACGATGCATGGATTCTGAGCAGAGGGCTTGAGGTGCAGAGTGTGTTTCTGTCATTCACCTGTACTCTTGTCATTGACTGTGAGAAGAATATGTCACAGGTCTGTGCTGTCCA